CGACATGCTCACGGCGCCGGTGGGACTCGATCCTGCCGTTCGGGGGGGTCCTTCACCGCGGCCTGAGGGTCTACATTTATAAGCAACCCGACCGGTTTCCGGCCATTCATGTGAAGGCAAACCAACGGTCCGGCGCCTTTTGTGAAAAAACCGGGTAAACGTGAATCGTACGCCTCTGTTCTCACCAGGCCCTTTAAGCAAACCTATTAAAAAATTTGGATTTATTTTGACTGGGTGGTCATACTTTCGAACATATCGCTCGGGGGGGGGACATAATTTTTGAAGCAACGCCGAGTTCAACATTTTTACACGATTATTGCAATAAGACTCTCATATAAAGCGGAGACGTGAATACTTGCGCGTAGGGGTTGCGTGCCCTGCGCCCGCGGCGGCGCCGTGCAGTACATGCACAAGTCGTGATGTACGCAAAATAGAAATCGGGGGGTACCTCGTGTTATTCTTGCCTGGGCGTATAGCAGGGAAAGAGCCGTAGGGTTGCCTCGAACATTAATTACCTATATAACCGTCGACAAACCGACATTAAGTAGTAATCATTCTTTAATATCGAGTACCCCGACATACTACATGTATTACATCGCGCATTTACAACATAATTTTTTCAATTTAATGGCTGCAATGCTAATTTCGCAGGCGACACTCGAGATAAACCGTCGGATTCTTCGCATAACCGTGCCATATTATTATATTATATATATGTCACGTATTTTTTATCCAAAGTACCGCTTTACATCGAGACAACCCGAACTATAGTGATTCTAGGCAATTCGCATTATATTCATGGTATTGCTAACTACACCTGGGGTTAATCGTCATTAATCGATCGATCCGGCCCCGATCCGACGATCGACGGCGCGAGCAATTATAGTTTAGGTAGTTATTTTTTGTTAGGTTAATGGGCTACCGACAGGTACTTGCACCGCCCCACGACAATGCACATGCCGCTTTAACCTCGCAGAGAGAGAGGTTGGTTTGGTCTAGGAATAAGTGGAATAAGTGTGCAAAATATTTAAATTGTATTTTCGGATCCTGAACGAGAACGCCGCCAGAGCGCGTCTCCCCGTTACCTGCAGAAGGAAGCCATGCACGCAACGCAGCCCCGCTCTCTTTATCTCCAGGTGACTTTCTGCCGCTTTCCTCCGTGGTGCAGTGCTGATCGTTTCACCACGGAGGAAAACACTTCACTAATTGCAGTACCCATAAGGAGCTGTACAAATGCCGCAGTTTTTGCTGGCTGTGTATTTAGTTGAAAGCCCAGTGGCGATCTGCTCATCTCTCATCGAAATAATATGCTACAAAGGGGCGGACTGGCCATCTGTGTGTTGAACTTTCCTGTCGGCTCCCAGACCGTAGTCCAGGAGGGCAGAAGAAACAAGCTTCAGGTTCAATAAACCACTTTAGCTTAAATTACTGGAGAGAGGCGAGCTCTTCTTGGGAGGCCGTTGCATTTATTTAGCTGTTCTTCTGTTTCACAAAATACATCACAGACCTCTGTTTTTCTGCTGCCTCGTTTCACTTCCAGAAACATACACACGTTCCCTCACTGTCGCTCTACCATCCACAAACACACATGCACAAGCCACACCCCTCACCTCTCTCTCTCTCTTAAAGGGACAGCGACCTCATCTCACTCTGCATGAACCTAATATCATAACATGTGTGCTCTGGAAAATCACAGAACGGACGATCGTCCTTATTATTATGCCGTTTAAACCAATTGTTTAAATGTGTTTGTTAAATTCGGCATCATGTAAGTTGCGCTGACAGGTCCACACACTGCTTCCCCGCGGCTGTTGGTTGACGAGCGTCAAGCTCCTCAACCACCCCCCCCCCCGTTGATAATTCTCGATAGTTGGCACTCTGATAACAATTTCTTTTTAAAATGGCACTTCATATGAAGAAGGTTGCCGACCCCTGTTGTAGATTGACTGTCAAAATGCTGCTGGGGACAAAACAATTTCCTAACTTGCGATAAATAAAATATCCGTCCATCTATCCGTCCATCCATCCAATCAAACGTTAATAGTTATGTGGACACAGGCCTTAAGATAAGAACAGTTAATGAATGTTATTGTTTGTGTGTGTGTGGTGGCTGGTTGCATCATGTGGAGGTGTGTGGCGCAGTGGATAGAGCGTTGGTGTTTGGTTCAGGGGAGCACAGGCTCAAACCCCCCCGCATGTCGTTGTGTCCCTGAGACACTTCACCCCAAAGTGCTCCTGTGGGGATTGCCCACAGTATGGAGTATGTAAGTGGCTTTGGATAAAAGCGTCTAACAAGTAACATGTGTAACATGTAATCTAATGTGATCTGTACGTACCTGACGCTGCTTCCTCCTCCTCCTCCAGGACTCAGAACTGTGAGAGCGAGTACCTCTCCGCAGGAAGCCGCCTCCTCTCCGCAGCGTGCAGGACGCTGCCCAAACTGGTCATTCACTACACGGCCGTTAACTCGTCTCAGGATCAGGTTTTCACTCTGGACGTTTTCTCCGCTCGTTCCTGGCTCCGCCACAATCACCTGTGGGCCAATGAGGTGTGGACGCGCTGATCCAAAATGATAATTCCTCCGCAGTCCCGCCGACATAATTAACTTTCATTTTTCCCTTAGAACTGCTTTTGTTCCAGAGGCTGTGGTTGACTGGGAAATCAAACAATAAAATCAGGAAAACGAACGCATTTATATTTCTTTTGGCTGTCATATCAATTTAGCCTTTGACCAAGAAGAAGACATTCACAACCAAAGATGGACACCAGACATGTTCAATGATTGATTTTTGTACAAAGATAATACCTCGTTTTTGTTCAAATTTTGTTTTAAATATGTTACGGATTTTTATGTTCATTGTGGTTTCCTGAGGAGTTATTTTAGATGATTTGTCTTTGATTTATGTCAATCAGTGTTTTGTGTGATTTGGAAAAATAAGTAATCTGGCAGGGTAGTTGTTTTCTTTAACAAAAATGTACAATGTGTGTATATAAGTGTATATTTATAATGGTGTTAAGTCTTTGATGGTATTATATCGCTACATCATCTTACTGATTATCAAATCTTCAATTGTTGCTTGTTCAAGAGCTGTGATTTACATTTTTTATTTGTAATAGGTTTTTATAAAAACTGTTCAGCTCCAAAATTTTGACTTTGTACTGTTTGTTTGAAAAAAAATCCCCAAATGATTGTCTTCTGGAAAATAAAAGATTGGCATGTAGTTAAAACAGACTGCTGTTGTTTTATGCATTTACTTTGAGCATTCTTTCCGTAATATAAACTAAACAAAGTTGCATCACGTCTGCAGTTCAATCCCTGAGAGGCAGTGAGAAAGTGTGTTTTCAAAACAGACATTTTCTACCATTTAAAAAAAAAAAAGTTTTTTTTTATGTATAGTTACATATGATGTCTAAAGAGCTACATGTGTCCGGCATCAGCTGCATCTCTCACCCCTGTTCCTGTGCATTTATTTACAGATCACTGTAGTGTACATTTGTTACACAGCTACCGAACCACCAGGGGGAAGCACTGAGCCGTGGGGAAGTGAGCATAAATGGGGAAAGAAGTGAAATGACCCATTAATTAAAACGAGAGGGGAAATGTGTTGAATTCACATTAGATAGGAATACAGATATGCTCAAACACATGCATTAGTCCAGGTGCTCATTTTTAATCATGTTTTTTTTTTAGAAACTGATGGTAACATGAGATTCAAGTCCTCAAAGAGGCAGTGGTGGACAGTACTTCACTTCAGTACCATTTTTGAAGTACTTTCTCTGACTTCTTGAGTGAGTCCCTTATCTGCTACTTTATAGTCATACTCCACTAGACTTCAGACACAAATACTCTGCTTCTGACCAACAAATATTCAGATTATTAATGCAAAATATAATTGAAAAATCTCTTATCCTGTATTATTATAGGTTTTGATGATCAGTGGGTGAAATACACCGCGCAGTGTGTAAAGTAGTTAAAGTTAACCCCGCCCCCTCTGGCTGCAATATGAAAGCGATAAATCTAAAATGTTAAATAAAAATTATATAAATGATTCTGGAATAGATATAAGTGTAAAATGACTACTTTTACTGTCTGTGCAATAGGTGCATTTTGAAGTGAATTTCAATTTGAACAGAGTATTTACTTTTAAAATGTATATTACTTCCAGCAATGCAAAGAGGATTGATTGATACATACATTTGCTCTGATGCTTAAAATGTATTTCTAAGGCAAATAGTTTGTGATTACCAGAGCAAATTAGAGATCTCAGAGAGGTGAAGATGACACAAGAAAAACAAACTGTATTTCCTCAACTTGTTTGCAACATGTATCATTTGTCAGAAACCAGTTGCGAAATGTTCATAGATTTCAAAAGCTGAATAGCGTTACTTAAAGTAAAGGCTCACCCCACACCATTCAGTCATATGACATACTGTAGGTAATGCAAATTTGGGAGTCATCCAGCGATAGTTAGTCCCAACACAGGACTGTTTGTGTGATTTGTTGTTGTTGCTCGGAGCAGTGCTTTATGAATCTAGTTCCCCCCCCCCGCCTCAAGTCCCGGTAACCACGTCTGATCTTCATGAAACTATACGAAAGAACAGCCAATTTTTCTTCACATGGAGAATAGTAACACTGGATTCTGCAGCCAGCGTCATGTGCCTCTGCAGAAACACACAGCTCTGTGTTATTCCCTCTTTGACGTGTTAACATAACCTCTGGCATGTTTCCAAAAGGTTCATCCTTTAATCTACTTGGAGTTTGCTGTAAATCAACTCACCATCTCAGCCTTCTTTAGTTTGAGTCACCCCTTTAACCCCAGAGAAAAAAATGGAGTAACATTTGTGACCCATGTCAAATTAGGTTTTTTAAGTGCCTCATATGATCTCTGTTATATAATAACCTAACCCCTCTCTGTCTTTGACTTTCTGCATTGTGTTTCTCAACATTTTCATATCGACTTGTTGCCAAATCAAATGCAACGCAGCAAGATGAGAGATGGCTGGATGATACATCTGGAGAAAGATGCAGGACATTTTGCTCAGTGGTGGAAGAAGTACTCCTAAGTTTTAAGTAAAAGTAGCAATATTGAATTATATTGTAACCGTTATTTTTTCCTTCAGGTGTGCACATCCTGTCATTCATAAGGACAGACTACAACCAGTGTTGGAAGAATACTCAGATGTATACTAGAATAAATGAAGCAATAATGAAATGGAAAAATACTACAATTAAAACTCCCGTTTATTAGTTGAATTATATGTTGTATTAGGTAATAATCTGAATCTGTTAAGTAACTTGAAACTAAAGATGGATACATGTAGTCGAGTTTATGGTAGCTAGAGGTGGTAGAAGTACTCAGATCTTGTACTTGGGTAAAAGTAAAGTACCAGAGTGGAGGAATACTCTGTTACAAGTACAAGTCCTGCAATCAAAATGTTACTCAAGTAAAAGTACAGAAGTATATGCATCAAAATATACTTAAAGTACTAAAAGTACTCATTCTGCAGATTGGTCCATTTCAGAATAATATGATATGTTTTATAATTATTGATCATTAAAGTGTTCTCAAAGCTGGTAAAGGTGCAGCTAGTTTTAATGACTTTGTATACTGCAGGGTAGCTTGTGAATTTACTCCAGGTGGAACTAAAGTCTGATTTAAAGGTTGATTATATTTCACATCATTAATCCACATCTGTAGAGTAACTAAAGGTATTAAATACATGTAGTGGAGTAAAAGTACAAAGTATACAAGTAGGATACCTCAAAATTGTACTTTGTTCTCATTGGAGTAAATCTAACTATTTACTTTATACCACTGGGTTTTAGTACTTAAACAATGTTGGATGGTTTAATCCATACCAATTAATCATATTTTAAAAGTCTTTCCTAAAATCAAAATGTATAAAGTAACTAGTAAATAAATCTGTAAAATAAATGTAGTGGAGTAAAAGTAATAAAGTAGCATAAAATGAAAACACTCAGTTAAAGTGAAAGTTCTTCAACATTGTACCCAAGTAAATGTACTACATTACCTGCCACTACTGACGCCAGTGAGCACTGCTCGCACGCACGGACGCGCTCAAACTCCCGTCACCGTCGGGAACGCGCATTTGATGCACACCCCTCTCTCCTCCCTTGGGCGGAAGTGGGTCCATTTTTTCTCAATCGGATAAGAGTGGCTCCAGGAGTTGCAGCTCGAGCAACACGGCAGCGCACACACCTTATGTTTATGTTAATCCTTAACCAACCGGGATTAAACAACGGCAACAACAACGCAGTACGGGACGCGAATCCTCTCCGTACGGCCGTCGGGACCGAATTTTTCGGCACCGTTTTCCACGCTGCCAGTGCGCATTCCTGCACGCAGAGAGCCAGAGATCCAGCCCGGCCAACGGAGAGCTGCTAGCGTTCCCTTTCACAACCCCGGACCGGTGCATTCACCCCCGGAGGCTGGTGAAACACACCTCTGATGTTTGGGCTTTACTGGAGACTCCATGCGTTTGTTGTTTTGGAGACCCAAGGTGCACCATGGGATGGTTGCTCTGATGAATACGAGTACGGTCTTGCGTTCCGAGTCGACTGACCGGTGGCTGCGCCCGACGCCGCCTTCCAGGGCCCCGATGGTGGACTAGAGAGGAGGAAAACACAACCACAACACGGGCCTTAATTGTAGAAGAGGAAAGACCCATTTAAATCATTTTTACGCTCGTCTTGGTGCTGTTGGAGCCCCGCAGTCATGGGCAGGAGAGACGGAGCCTCCGGTTTTTCGTCGCCGATCCAGTGTCACTCCAGTTTCGGGTTTATTTTATGAGCCTAAACACTTTTTCTCGACCATCGTAAGATTATTTGAAAAGAGGGACGCGGATGCTTCACCCTCGCCTTACACACGTGAATGATCATAAACGCCTAAAAAAGTGTTTTGTTTTTGTTGCCTCATCTTCGGAGAACTGCCTACCTCCTTGTTTCGCATTAGGTCAGAGTTATATAATACAGAGACAAATCTGTAAGTCCATGAGCACCGTTTCCACTGTTGAACTGACTTTGATACCTCATGAATCTACCTCAAATACACGTTTTTTCGCTACACCTCACAACTGGCCGATGTGACTCCAGATAAATACCTCAGATTGCGCATGTTGTAAACCTGGGTTTGGGTAAATGCTGCAGATGGCTTCGTTTCCAGACTCAGACCTGCAGACCTGCCCGCTCTGCAAGGAGCTGTGCGGGTCCTCTGCTCCCATTTCCTCCAGCTCTTCTACCTCTTCATCTTCCTCGCATACCTCCTCATCTTCCTGCCAGACCACCAGGAGGCTCCACGTCCTGCCCTGCCTCCATGCCTTCTGCAGGCAGTGCCTGGAAGGCCAGCGGAGTCCCGGGGAGCCCCTGAAGCTGCGGTGCCCCACCTGCGACCAGAAGGTGTGCATCTCAGAGGCCGGGGTGGACTCCCTGCCTTCCTCAAACTTCCTGTTCAGCAACCTGCTGGACGTGGTGGTGAGCTCCGAGGAGCAGATCCAGAACAAGAACGGCCACCACAACCACCTCAGAGGAGGCTTGGGTGGAGG